TGATTCTCCAGAGTTCAAGTTACTTATTATAAAAGTTTGAAATTTCTGGTAGCTTTTTTTCTGTTAATAAAAATAAATTTAATCTGTTCGGTTAACGAATCTCCATAAAATAACGTGTAAAATTACAATTTTTTAAAATTTCAATAACTTTTTAACGGTTTAGTGAATCGATTTGTGAATTTTACAGGAGTTTTAGAATTGAATGAGGAACGTTTTTCCAAATTTTTATTTGTTTCGTAGCATTTTTACATACCTCTCAAACATCCTTAACTACCTATAAAGCAGGATCATTTGCGGCTGTTTGCCCTACATGTACCTAATGTTTCATGTAGGTGCCTTTGTGTAGTATGTATGACAAAACAGCCGCGGACGATCTGACCTAAAAAAAATCTAACTTGCACCCCCCTAGGGCAGAAGCTGGGTACGCCCATGTATTAGTGGTGTTGGTTTTTTTCATTCTTCTGGTAGAATTACCCGACACTGCCTCACTGCCTGGTACCCGGCGTTATTATCCAGTACCAGGGCGGATCCTAAAAGAAGTGCCGGATCCGCCGGATACCGGATCCAAACCGGCTACTCTGCCAATCTCTAGATTTTAACATCCTTCGCGTGATTTGCACCCTCAACTTCAGTTCATTTAAAATACATAATAACACTGAATCTTTTAAAAGTGAATCCATAAAGAGTTTGGGATACAGCATAATTTATATCCTCAAAACTATAAAACTATGACCACATTCAGAACAAGGAGATTTCACTATATTGACCTTATACAACATTGTAACAAAGTCGTAACGATTGCACCTCTTAGTACTTCTGTTAATTGTACTTGTTTTCTTGACTAATTTACAATTCAAGAACCAGGGTTTAATTCTACGTTTGTGGTGGTAGTTAAAGTATATTAATCCTGATTTATTACTATCCTCAGTATACAAGCCTAGTAGAATTTATTGCTTCCGATTTACATTTAGAAGAATAATCCGAAAAGGGGATTACTAGGTATTATTATTTTAACATATTGTATTTATTTCGTCACCAATTTATTTGATTGTATTTAGACATTAACTTTTACAGTTTACTTACTTTCTTATGAGACCAAATGACGAAATCAATATGTAGCTTCGCTAACATTAATCTGGCATTAATTCGTGTTTTTTTTTATGTTTTAAAAAGGCGATTAATGGTTACTTATTAATTTTATTCTCACCTCTGTATTGCTCAGAATACCTTTCTTCAGAATAACAACTGTATTATCCAAATATTTTTTGCAAAATAGTAAATATTCCACAGCAAGTTGACTTAGCTGGAATATTTTAAGGAACGTTGGATCCAAAATACTCGTTTGATCATTATCTAAACTGTATTCGATTACAGACGGGATATATTTCTCAACTGTAGAAGTATTACGATCTTGTATTAATTTACCAATGTCCACATTTTCTAGAAAAACAATTAACTGAAGAAAATTTTCAAATTATACTGTATAATGTGTACTGCCTCGTACTGATATATTCTTTTTCGAAGCAGGTTTTCGTTTTTCGACTTTTAAAAGAAAATCCAGCATCAAAAGCCAATCGTGGATAATCAAAATGCCAGTCATAACTTTCACTCCACATTTTAATTATTTAGAAAAAAACTATTTTAAATCACATTTCTTAAATACAATTAAATATAAGAAACTACATTATACGTTGACTATTTTTAACATTTAATGAGAAACTGAATCATGAAAATATTGGTATTATGATCTCCATGGAAACAAAATCACCTTTGTACATACATACATACCTACATTAACATTTATTCGTTTCTAAAAATTATTTAATGCTACTTTACTTGTTATTACTATAATAGTGAGACGAAATGAAAAAGAAACAAAATATAATATTAAAATAAAGGATGCAGGATCTCGCGCAATCCTCAAGAAAATTCGGCATCGCTCAAATCAATTCCAGTTGGAATATGATATTCTTTATGGCTTTCTCATAAAAAGTTCTACCCCCTCCTGGTTTTATTGAAGAGATAATTAAAAAAAAATCCGTTTAGTAAGTCATGTTTTCAACTTTTAGATACTTAGGGGAAAGTAGCCTATTTGGTACCAGCTCCTAAATCGTACTTCTTCAATTTCTCTTATTTTAGAGCATATTTCACCATCTACTGGTTAAAAGCAGAAGTTATATTCTCTCAGAAGCTCACTACATTTAAACTAATTAGTTTGAATATTATTCTGTTTTGATACAGGCTCCTGTAATATGGTAAACTTTTTAATTTCAAACTGTAACATTTTTAAAACATTGTCAACCTATATTGAAAATAGACAATGTGGAAATTAATACCAGAAAACATATCAATAAAACGTTGAAATAAACTAAATAATATATAATAAATTCATCCAAGCTCTCGAAATTTACATAATAAACTGTAAAAGTTGTAAACTTAAATCTGTTGGACAAACAAAACAGTCTATCTTAACAAGATATAAAGAACATATTGCTCACTTCAGATTATACTATTATTTTTGAAATAAATCACCCTATAGTCCCTGAATGTTTAAAATTAATCAATGCAATCTTTTGCAAATCAGAACTCTAGGCTTGGGAAAGTTTACATATTCAAAAAGATAAAAATAATCTTTTCTTTTGTAATAAGTTGAGTTAATAATTGTATTCTCAATTAATCATAATTATTCACACGTACTTCAAACGTAAACATTGTCTTCAACATCAAGAGTAACATTCAAATAATATGGAAGCTGAAAATTTTGTATTCACAATACAAAATATTAATATTACAAAAAAATGTAAAATAGCGACAAAAAACATGTAAGGGTCATGGCCATAGAAATGAAGAAAATGATAAAGAAATGAAAAAATATATAAAATGATAGGAAGTAAGGAATAAATTAATGTACATGTAATTCTTCTGCATTCGTTGCTGCTATTTTTAGAGTAGACGCCATTTTTGAAATGAAAGTGTTCTCATTCATAAAAGTTGGGTTACTGCTGACTAGTAAGATTATTTCTTACCATTGCATGTCAAAAGTTGGTTCAATAATTTGAAAATATTTTATTTATGTTTGTTATAATATTTATATAACATTGCCATATGTAAAGGGCACAAGGGATTTACAGTAATTGTTCTACAAAGTATGGATGAAAAATTCAATATTACTTGCAGAACTTGTTTAACAGAACAAGGAGAATTCAAATCTTTATTTAAAAACCACGAAAATTGTAATATGCAAATAGCAGAAATGCTAATGTCATTTACTTCTCTACAGGTAAACATACAATTTTATTAAATCATCTTATTAATTAGTACTCTAATATTTACAGATAAGTTTTGAAGATGGTCTACCTCAAAATATATGTGAAAATTGCGCAAATAAAATTCTTCAGGCTTACTATTTCACATTGAAATGTGAAGAATCTGATGTTATACTTCGTAACAAATTCATAACAAATTCTGTAGAAAATACATTAAGTGGTATCACACAAAAAGCAAATTTTGATCTTGGAATTGATCCACATCATGTTGATATAGTAATCAAAACTGAAACTCTTACTGAAGAAAGAAATGTGAACACTGAAAATGACTCTTCTGAGAATGATTTTCACAATCAAGGTGACTGCACAGAAGATACTAATGATTACTTTGATACAACTAATGAACATAAACAGGAAGGTGAAGAAACTAGGACAATTACAAAATATAGCAAAGTAAACAGGTCTGCCCAAGAAAAAGCAGTGTGCAATGTTTGCCTCAAAGAATTTCAGAGTGCAGGTTTATTAAATAAACATAAGAAAAGTCATGAAAGTTTAAAATGTACTTGTCCAACATGTGCTGAATCTGCAGAAAAAAAAATTCCTGACACGCAGTGTATGATTTGCAATGAAACTTTTGTCAGTAGAGATGAATACATTACTCATATTTTAACACATACAGAAGCAAAAGGTGATTCGATTGTAGAGTGTCATATATGTCACAAGAAGTTAACAAAAACACCTCGTATAAGTAGACATTTAAGAACTCATGCTGCTATAAAACCACATACTTGTCAGTTATGTAATAAAAGCTTTTCAAGAGCTGACCAACTTAATAGTCATATCAACGTACATTCTGGAATTAAGCCACACATATGTAACTTATGTGGAAAAGGTGATTTAGTTTTTATTATTTTTGTTTTCTTCAAATTCCAGTAATGTGGGCATGAGCTCAATATTTGAGACAGTGATACATGATCATAAAAAATTAATTGCAAGAATAAGTTAAAAATCAAAATTGAAAACCATGTTTAAACTTAATCTTTTTAAAATCAATTTCATTAATGTTAATTTAACTGAAGTTATATACACAAAAATTGTCTTAAGTTTTTTTGAACTTACTACAAAATTATTTGTTGTATTAATAATTTTACATTGAATAGCCTGTAGATAATTAGGCAGTCACTCATAATTACATCTAAATCTTTACCTGCGTAGTTTGCTTGTAACTGGCTATTTTTTTTACAAATATTGAGACACCAAAAAGGTAAAGATTTTATTATTCCAACTGTTACTATTAGTAAATTTAGTTCTAATAAAAATGAGATTGGTTTTTTTATATTTTTTATCTTTCAGGGTTTACACAAGTTTCAAATTTGAGAGATCATATGCGTACTCATAATGGTGAAAAACCATTTTTGTGTTCTGTTTGTGGAAAAGGGTTTAACCAGGTTGGAAATTTAAAACAGCACACAGTAAGACACAGTGGCATTAAAGCACATCTTTGTAGTGTATGTGGAAATGGTTTTGCTAGTAAAGGAGAACTAGGAGCCCACATGCGAAAACATACTGGTAATTTCCACAATAATTAATCAATATTAAAAATCATTTTGTATTAGTTGATCTACTTAAGTTACATATCATATTGTATTAAATTAGAGCATTATAAAATATTTTTTTTAACATATGACTTTATAATTGTGTATATATCTTTTAACAAGGTGCTCGTCCATTTGTCTGTTCTGTGTGCAACCACGGCTTCACAACGTCCAGCTCGCTTACCAAACACAAACGCATCCACTCTGGGGAAAAACCATACGAATGCGACGTGTGCAGAATGAAATTTGCGCGCAGCGGGATATTAGCAAGGCACAAACGCACTCACACAGGAGAAAAACCGTACAAGTGTAAGTTTTGTGGGAAAGCGTTTACGCAATCAAACGATCTTGCGGCGCATCTACGCATTCATACCGGCGAAAAACCATTTATTTGTGACACCTGTGGTCAGGCGTTTCGACAAAAATCCGCCTTAAAGTCTCATAAAAAGATACACACTCTAAATGACTGGAGTAAAAAGACAAACGTATCTACGCAAGCTTGTACACCTATTTTTAAAACGTACTTGGACAATCTGTAGTACCAAAATGATCATTTGTGAACACATTAAGAACAATAGGTTTTCAAAGAATGTACGTTTTTTTTTTCTAATCCGACTCCTTTAATTACAAAAAAAAATAAGAATGTGTTATAAAATAGTCTTATATAAATTTTATAGACTTTTATCCCATATTTCTACTATAGGAAATTAATGTCACATCTTGATAACTTATTTTTAAAAAAGGGTCATTTTTCGCCTTCCGAATGTATTTGAAAAATCATAGAATCAAAGAAATATCATAGAGGATTTGAAAACATTTTTATGTAAAGGTTTAGTGCAAATTTAAAAAGGTACATTTGAAATATACTAATTTTTTTAAAAATATTTGTCATGCGTCCTTTTTATAAAACACTGTTTAATACTTTGTACCGTTTTAACAGTAGGTACAACATAAAACAGTTACTGTTCATTTTCAATCACTTCTATATGGTACAATTTTTTGTCTGACTCGGTTATGGGGGAAGGTGCTCCACTAATAGGATCCCGGCCTTCAAAACCTTTCGGAAATGCAATTACGTCTCTAATGCTGCTTGTGTTAAGCATAGTTGCCAACAGTCGATCAATACCCAATGCTATACCTCCATGTGGAGGACACCCAGACCTCAACATCATCAACATATGTTTAAGACTAGTTTTTGGTATCCCTAATATATTCAAAATTTCTTCTTGTTTTTGAGAATCGTGAATTCGTATAGATCCTCCTCCCACTTCGTTTCCATTTAATACAAGGTCAAAAGCTTGAGCCCTGACCTAAAAAGACAATATTAAATGGAAAACAAATTGTAAACAATTTTCAAAAGAAATTCGTTAATATTTTTCTATGTAACTTCAGAATAAGTTAAAAATTTCTTACTTGCAATGGGTTGGTGTGTAGCAGGTGTTCGTCTCTTTTCTGGGGTGCTGTAAAAGGATGATGGGCGGAGTTAAATTGTCCTGAAAGTTCCCCTTTCTCAAAAAGAGGAAAATCAATAACCCACAATGGAAACATACCGTCGTTTACTATTTTATGCCCTCTTTTTTCCATATGCTTTGCATATTCTACCCTTACATGTCCTAATAAAGGTAACTTAAAAGGTGGCTACTTGATATATGATAATTTATAAATCACTAAAACATCTTACCACAGCATGTTTATCCCCATAAGCCAAGAAAATAACTGAATCATTTTCTAGTTTGACTTTTTCAGCTATTATGTTAGCAATTTTTTCACCTAGTAGGTCCGAAATTTTCTCTACCCATTCTGACACAATGCTCACTTTACTTTGAATAAATTTAACTTCTGGTGCTTTTTTAGCAATTTCTGTTAACCTCGCCTTTATAGTTGATGTTAAGTTGCAGTAAGGATGATTGAAAAATACACAGTAAGCACCAAAATTGTCTTCAAATTTATGTTCTTTAAAAATGTCAGTTAAATTTATTAACTAAAAGAAGCAATGAAAGCTAATGTTAAAATATATTTTACAATCTAAAGAAACTTAACATACCTTAAAATCATATCTTACGTCCGGTTTATCGGAACCGTAAGTCTCCATCGCTTCACTATACGAAATCCTAGGAAATTGAAACGGTAATGGAGGAAGAAAATCTGGCCATGAGTACAGTAACAGTTCTTCTATTAACTGTAGAATTCCATTAACATCAGTAAAAGACATTTCTATATCTAATTGAGTAAACTCTGGTTGTCTGTCAGACCGAATACTTTCATCACGATAACACCGCGCTATTTGAAAATACCTTTAATAAATAATTAGGTAATTAGTAACAAATTTTAATTTATATTCTATAATTAACCTGTCGATTGCACCAGCCATCAACATTTGTTTAAACTGCTGAGGACTTTGCACAAGTGCGTAACACTGGCCAGGAAATCGTGTAGGTACAATAAATTCTTGTGCACCCTACAAAATTGCTATTAAGTTAGCCAGATTTATAAAATATTTTTAATGAAAAATAAATATAAAACTGAAAAGTGAAACAAAAAGTAATACATACACCAGGTGTAGCTTTAAACAATGTTGGTGTTTCCACATCTACAAAATTAGAATGCTTCACCAGAAATGTGCGAATATCCATCAGAAATTGTGATCGTACCCTGAGGTTTCTTTGCATTTCAGAAAACCTCAAATCTAAATATCGAAATTGCAACCTAAGGGCTTCCTTTGCTTTTTGGAATTCCCTTATATTAAATGGCAAATTAGTATCTGCCTTGTTTAATATCTCAAGTGATTGTATAACTACTTCTATTTCCCCTGTTTGTTGACTTGGATTAATCATATTTTCTGGTCTAGCTTGAACTGTACCCTTTAGGCAGTCACTCATAATTACATCTAAATCTTTACCTGCGTAGTTTGCTTGTAACTGGCTATTTTTTTTACAAATATTGAGACACCAAAAAGGTAAAGATTTTATTATTCCAACTGTTACTATTAGTAAATTTAGTTCTAATAAAAATGAGATTGGTTTTTTTATATTTTTTATCTTTCAGGGTTTACACAAGTTTCAAATTTGAGAGATCATATGCGTACTCATAATGGTGAAAAACCATTTTTGTGTTCTGTTTGTGGAAAAGGGTTTAACCAGGTTGGAAATTTAAAACAGCACACAGTAAGACACAGTGGCATTAAAGCACATCTTTGTAGTGTATGTGGAAATGGTTTTGCTAGTAAAGGAGAACTAGGAGCCCACATGCGAAAACATACTGGTAATTTCCACAATAATTAATCAATATTAAAAATCATTTTGTATTAGTTGATCTACTTAAGTTACATATCATATTGTATTAAATTAGAGCATTATAAAATATTTTTAATGAAAAATAAATATAAAACTGAAAAGTGAAACAAAAAGTAATACATACACCAGGTGTAGCTTTAAACAATGTTGGTGTTTCCACATCTACAAAATTAGAATGCTTCACCAGAAATGTGCGAATATCCATCAGAAATTGTGATCGTACCCTGAGGTTTCTTTGCATTTCAGAAAACCTCAAATCTAAATATCGAAATTGCAACCTAAGGGCTTCCTTTGCTTTTTGGAATTCCCTTATATTAAATGGCAAATTAGTATCTGCCTTGTTTAATATCTCAAGTGATTGTATAACTACTTCTATTTCCCCTGTTTGTTGACTTGGATTAATCATATTTTCTGGTCTAGCTTGAACTGTACCCTGCACTTTCAATATTGTTTCATAAGGCAATGATTCTAAGCATTTGCTTGGCTCTGTGTCCTAAACAAAATATAACGTTTTTAATTTATAAATGAAAAAAAAAAGCAAAACTTACATTTTCTTTGATAATTAACTGAGTACGGCCATAGGAGTCTCTAAGAACAATAAATTTATTCATTCTTTGATACTCTAACCAGCCACATAGTGTAACTGTTTGACCAACGTTAGCAATTCGTAACTCTCCGCAAGTGTGAGTTCTTTCAGTAAATTTGTTTGTTCCAGAAAAGTTCTTGTCATTATTATAAACTTCGGGCTCATCAATTAAATAAGTGCTTTTTGTTGTAGTACTATATGAACACAGTGTTGTATGAAACAACTGAACATTTTTAAATGGTTTAATGTCCTGTAATAATAACTAATAATAAGTACAAAATGCATATAAAAGGGACTACAACCTTTGTGCTTAACAGTTCGCTGGAACATTGGAAAAATCTCCTATTGAAAACTGTTCGACACAATTTTCTTAAATGCATATTTATTTGTACGAAATGTATGCAATAAGCATTATCAGTCCACACAGGAAACACCAAAATTTGCAACAACTTATCCGATGGTAAACAAGGTTATAAAATATAAATATAACCTTAAAATGTCAAAATCCAGATCATAGACTTCAAGATCATAGAATCAGAATTATCTGATCTAGGTCTTGCACATAGATAATAGATACACAAAGGGTCTTGCATCAGATGAAATTAATAAATGCCTCTTACCATTAATTATTCCGCTTTTTCCTCATTTTTTTACAAATAAGTGCCAAATATTAGATTCATAAAATCATTGCAGAGAATAGTTATCGTAGCAAGAAGTACTTTCTCCTTTATCCATGTTTCTCCCTACTCCAAGTAAAAAGAAACTTCATGTAAGTTTATATTTGTAATTTCTTAATGTTTTTTCTAGAAATATTACACATACGACAGATTCGAGTACAATATATAAATAAATAACAATCTATAATGCTATAATATAAATACCTAATCATAAAACTAATTAAAGCTTTAATAATACAGAACATCAGTGATGTTAACATTTTTTAGCATACACATCAGAATTACTACATTTAATATATACACTTCTTTAAAAACACTGATCTTGTCTTATGCTGTATTGATTTTATGCACTTTTTGTTTGTGCATTCTTAAAGACGGATTTCTTATAAAAGCATGGCCACATATATCACAAACGAACGGTTTTTCCCCGGTGTGTATTCGCAAGTGGAAAACCAAATCATTGAGTTGCGCAAACGCTTTCGCACAATACTCGCATACGTACGGTCGTTCCCCAGTGTGAGTACGTTTGTGTCTAGTTAAAACGCTGCAGCGTGAAAATTTCGCCTTGCACACGTCGCATTCGTACGGCTTTTCCCCGGAATGAATGCGTTTGTGTTTCTTTAATGAACTGTTTGTCGTAAAACCTTTGTTACAAGTCGAACACACAAATGGTCGAATTCCTTTAACCCAAATTAATATTTATATTAAACAATTAATAATTTGTATATTCAGATTGTATACTATGTTAACAAGAAGCTAAAAATTTTCTAGACAAGTACAAATTCCTTACAAAATAATTTATTAATAAAACGTTTTCGAAAACGTCAGGGACATTGTTTTGCATTTTCGAATAATAATCTACATGAATTAGTTTAGATTTTTATCCCACAAAATTCGAAGAAAAGAAACTAAAATATATATTGAATATATCTTGAACAGAATATTGTGAACAGAACTTTTTAATATAATACCTCCACACTCATCCCTGGTATCCAAGTTTTTAATTTATGCACCCATTTTAGAAGTATATACATTTCAAGTCAATAGTATTAGTAGTTGGTGGGATAATCAATTGTGGCATACATATTGACTACAGATCTAGAAATAAATAAATAAATAAATTACCTGAATGTTTCTGGATATGAGTGCTCAGTTCTTTTTTACTTGCAAACCCTTTATCACATATACTACACAGATGATCTTTAATACCAGTATGCCTGTTTGTATGTTGTTTTAAATTCCCCATTTGACTGAAACCTCTTCCACAAATATTACATTTATATGGTTTCTCACCATTATGAATTCGAATGTGATCTTCCAAATTTGATGGCTTATTAAAACCTAAAATTATAAACTTTTCATAATACATTTACTATGATTTACAATTATAATGCATTTTAGCACCTTTAGAACATATTTTGCAAAAATGTCGTTTGTTTTTGGAATGTATACTCATATGATTTTTAAAACGATCAATTTTTACAAATTTCTTCTTACATATATGACACACATGTACTTTTTGACTAGAATGAAAAGATGCATGTTGACTGAAAGTAGTCAGATCTGTTAATTGTTTTTGGCATATTCGGCATTCAAATTCTTTTAATTCCAAATGAGTTGTCACATGTACATCGTATGTTCCTTTTTCATTGAAAACTTTGTTGCAAATCAAACAATTGTTTTCTTCAATCGTACTTGCTTTACTGTTGTCTATTTCAGCATGAGAAGCTTCATGTTTTTTTAGCATGCTGTTACGAACAAACCTTATTCTGCAAATTTTACATTCCCACCTTTGCCTATGTAATTTTTTATGCTTGACCAAAAGCCCATAACTTCGAAACTCTTTCTGACAAGTATCACATGAAAATTTATTAAGTACTTTTAATGATTCATTAGAGCAAGTTTTAATTTCACCAAAAGTTCTTTGTTTGGAGTTTATAACTGTTTTCTTCTGCTCTTTTGATACTTCTTTCCTCATTTTAATTTTTTTAATTATATTTTTACTTTCAATTAGATTTTTTGTGTTAGATTCTGCAAATGTTTTCTTGAGCACAAATGAAGTTTCAAATTGTTTGTTATTATCCAAAGGAAAAGTATTATTCTTTAAGTCTTCCACCTCATTTTCTTCTCTATATTCTAATTTTATAGTATCATTCATACCATTCCATGCAATCACAGATTTAGCATTTGCATGAAGAAAGCGGTCAGATTCTTCACATTTTCTTTTAAAAAGATAAAAATTTGTTACTTGATTAGCACAATTTTCGCAAATATTATCTGGCAGATCATCTCCCTTGCTTATCTGCAATTATAAATATTAACTAAAAATATTTCTTACTTTATAATTGTATTTATTACTTTTAATGATGTGTAAGACATTAACATTTCTGCAAAATGGGAATCTATATATTCATCTTTGTATTCAGTGAAAATTGAAATGAATTGTCCCCTTTCAGTAAGGCATGTTCTACAAACAGTTGAAGAATTCTTCTCCATTTCCTTATTTTCTTTAAAAATCAATGTTTCTTTTATGTAAGTAAATAAGTGTAATGGTAAAATACCAAAATTATTACAAAAGGTTATATTCTCCTCTTGATATTTATCAAATACACTTTTATAAGAGTAAACTATTATCCATTACTTTATATAATATACGGTTTTATTCAGTCTCATAAAGAACTTCCTTGAATTTATTACTGTTGTAGATCATCAGGTCCATTTTCTCCCCATATCCTTTACTTGGATATATCTATATGTGTATTTATGACATTGTATACAAAATAAAGGTATACACATGAAATTAGCTGCAAACAACTTTTGAATTTTTGTAAAATAATCAGTGGGTTATTTATGTTTTGATCAAATTACATGCACTTAAAAAAGGCATTCATTTATTTAAAAATTGTTTAATTATTTAATTAAAT